CTTAATATTTTTTAGGCTTATACTTTAAAATACCCTAATTTGGATTAGGATCAATTTAATATAAAAACCTTCGTCATGAAGCAACATTTTGCATAAAAAAACGTTTCTTAATTAGTTTTATTTTTGTTTTTGAAAAGTATCATACAATAATTGAGTTAGGAGATTCCTCTTGCAATTTATTATAATTATTTTTTTTGGAAAAGGATTCTTCTTGCATTTAATAATCAGAATAAAAAAATAAATGTATAAGTTTCTTTATACTTACGCTCTACTTTGTAATTAAATTATTGTTACGAAAAGAGGTTCCAAGATTAAAAGAGAATACTTTCACAGATTCCATTCCATGATATATTTTTTAAAAAAATAATAAACTAATAACAGACAATAAAACTGATGAAAAAGGAAAAAATAATCATTAAAGTCGGACCAACTGATTAAGTTTTTAAATGCCCTAAAAAATTAGAAATTTAAATTTCGCCTTTCGAAAATTAGAAGTTTTAATTCCATCCCGTTGAGGGGAAAAAAAATCATTAAAGCTGGAATGATGGGAATTATAGTGATGAACTGAGTAAGAAGCAGAGTATGAGTTATTTTATTTGGTGCTACGTGGACGAGGAAACATACCAGTGAGAGTCTGACAAGGCAGCACGAGAGAGGATTGATTATAGGAGAATATTCTTTAAGAAAATCTCGGAATCCACAAAAACAAGTCACGGTCGGAGATCAATCACGAACGAAAAAATTTCACGATTCACCATCTGAATTCTTCAAGTGGTGAAGAATTTTGAGACCAAGAACTCTAAGTTCTTTCTCTATGTTTCTTTTGATTTTAGGAATCTCTTACTCTCCATGTTTTCGGAAGAAAACTCCACACACCGTATTATTCACACACACGGTGAAGAGGGAGTTGAGAGATATTAGGGCAACTGCTCCCTCATTTTCAAATTCAAAATGAATTTGAATTTCTGGATTTTAATTAAATCCTACCATTCATTAGTAGATAATTAATAGACATTTGGTTGTCAAAATAATGATTAGACCATGTTGGGAGGCAAGTTCGCAGGCCATGTGGACCGAACTCAGTGGTCAAGATTTACAATGAGCTCCTAGATCGATATAGTGGAATTTACTCCCCTAAAGACAAACCGTATCTGAGCTCATTGGAAGCAAGCTCGGATGTCATAGGGTACCATTAACAATAAAGAGTAGTTTAGTACTTACCCGGAAAACAATTGATAAGATGAGTAATGCCCACTTATCCCCTATAAATACACCTTCACTCTACTTAGTGAAGTATGCAATTTTGTCTGTCAATTGTCCAGTTCGAACTAGAACTAACTTGAGCTTCGGAGTGCTCTTCTTGTTTTCGCACCTCCAACTCGCTTTGCGATATAGTTCGCTAGAGAGGAGCTCTCGTCAATCTTTAACATTTGGCAGAAATCAACATCAACAAATAGTGTCACGAGCACAAAACCCAAGGTAATTATGGCTAAAAAAAGGGGAAAAAAAAGGCTCTTCTAGTTGGTATTTGACTTGGTATTAAAAAATAACTCAATGTCAAATATTACCATCTCTAACTCTGACAATTCCAACATAATAAAACACTTATTATTATTTCAAAGATCAATAGTTGAGGAAGCATAAAATATAAATAAATTGCATTTAATTTAAATTGAGGAAGCATAATAAATAATGATAATTTAATTTTTTGGATTCAATCTTTAGTTTGAATAGATATTTAATATCAATATGACCTTAGATCAATTAGTTAAAATATATGTCATGGATGAAAAGGACTTCTCACCCCATTGAATTAAAAGGAAAAAATACCAACTAATTAGTTTTAAAACTTTCAAAATAAAAGAGTAGAAACAAACTGAATAATTTTAATGAATTCTTTTTCCTGTCCTGTCAACTTCATTGTTCACATATGATTTATTTTTCTTTTAATATATAACCCAAACATGTTATACTTTAAAATTTATTGAAAAAAAATTACAGTACAAGAATGAAAGATGCCTCTCTGGACAATCTTTTAAATTAAAAAAGATAGTCAAAGTCTTCAAATGTAAACAAAAAAAAAAACGATCTCAGTGTCTTATTTCACTGAACTATGTTCCTATCCGAAAAAATAAGACCCAAATAATTTTGTTAATTGTTGAATTATATATACAATATTTAGGATAAATAAGACAATATTTAATTAAATTTATGTGCATGGATTTTGCACAAAATTAAAGAGCAGGAACCAATGAATTAGGCTCTGTAGTGGATCTCCTTTTTTCAACCGGGATAAGAATTTTGCTTCATTAATTGGTGCCAATTTGCTTTTATTCATTTCTTATTATTGGGTTGCTGTCAAGGTGGACACATATATATCAACTGAATAAATAAATAAATAAATAAACAAATATGGTATTAATTTTTTTAAATAGGATAAATTGGGACGGGAAGATTTGAACCTCTGACTTCAAGAGAAATAATAGATGTCAATTATGATTGAGTTATGTTCATATTGGTCGGCGTTGATTATTAAACCTTTGAATCTCCTTCGATTATTTACGTGATTTTGTCTTTTTATGGTATTTAACATTTTTTTTTCTTTTGAGGTACTTGAGTCTACCCAGGATTGATTTCCTATCCGTTTTTTTTTCTGCCTTTTTTTATAGAGATTGTGTAAACTTTTGTTAGAGTTGAGTGTATTGTAGCGAGAATCTGTAACTGGTTAAATCGTAAGTTATTTATTTTCTCTTATAAACAATAAAAATATGTTTGTATCTCTGCAAAGAGTATGTTTCCCTCCTCTACTTGTTTTACTAAAAACAAATAAATAAATAAAACTTTCAGAAAAGTATTTATCAAACAAAATTTAACCTAACAACTTCTAAATAGCTAGCTCTTAATATATAGTTTTCCAAAAGGAAAAAAAAAACAATTAACCGACAATTAACCATACGTACTCAAAGACTTGAAGTATAAGGATTTGAATATGAGGCGATCAAATTAAACCTCTCAATCAAGCAAATCTAATGAAAACCACTTAGCTTGTTGAGCTAGGAACAATTTTCGTAGGCGAAGAAATAGATGTAGTTTAGATGGATTATTGAGTGTGTGGTCCATGACAAATAGCAAAGAGAAGGCGATAGAAGATGAAAGATACAATAACAGAAGAATGAAGTTCTCACACCCCTAACTGATTGGAAACTCCCGTCGTTTAAAGTGAATTTGTGATGAGTTGATTTGTAATCTTTACTTTCTAATATATATATTACAATTTATTTTAATTCGTTTCGGAAAGTCATGATTGAATCCAAAACAACAAGTCATGCATTACATACGACATACTTAAATCACAACTAACTAACTACACATGAAAAAAATAAAACAAACAAATATATTGCTATACGTTTTCCTAACAATTCCCCAATATAATGTTTTTTGCACGACTCATCAAAGAAGATATTGTAACTACTTAACACTTACGTCTATACTTCAAAAATTTAGGCCATACTTTTTTGGCTATTGAGAGAGAGGCAAAATTAAATTAGTTTCACGTTCCCCAACAAACTTTGAGAATCTAATAATTTGGTGTTTATTCTTTGATTATATTTTGATTATTATTTGTTTAATTTTGAGGTATAAATATCTTTCCATTGTTTGCTCACCCAATTTCACCGCATGATATTGCATGTGATCATCCTCTTAAATTGATGATAGTAACTTTAACCCTCTTTTGTTTTAATTAATTAGGCCAAACAATTGCTCATATAGCGAATTTGTATTGAACGAATGAAAGACAAAGTTTGTTTTATCAAAGATCGTGATATAACAGTGCGCTCTCCATGAAGCTGATCATAAAGAATTAGTATATTATGATTTACTTGAATCCAATCATTGAATTCCTCCAAAGTTATCTCTATTATTTTAGAGTCGTGGTCATAAATTCAACCTGACATATATCATTAACTTAAATTTTCAAGTTTCAAACATTGGTTACTGAAGAAGTTATAATTAGATTAGTAATAACCAAGCAACATCTTGGCCTAGTACTTAATAAAATGGTAATTAATATTAGTCACCATATTCTTTTCCTTAATCAAAAACTTCAATAAATAATTAAAACATAAGCTTTGATTCCAATATTTTTTTTTTTACCAGAACTCAATATATCTTGCTCAATACTTATCTCCTAAACCATAAATCCTGGATCAAATCAACATCCCAAGTTTCTTTCATTAGTTACCAATTTTTTTTAAAACTATTTCTCACCCTCGTTAGGCAAATAATTAAATTGTACAGGAGCCCGCCAATGAGTAACAATGACGTGTCTCTTAAAAGTTGATTTGAACATTTTTTTTTCTTTTATATATATGTCATGATATGCATGGTTCGTTCAAATCCTCCTACTCCCACTAGAACGCACGATTAATTCATCGCACTAAACAACATTATATATATATAATAATTTCAAAATATGTATTATAAGCCAATGTAGCTAGAGAGAATTAAAAGTAGCATAAAGGACAAAAGAAAACCCCCACAAAGGCGTGAAATTTGGTGATAAAGGAGGAGATGGGGAGAAAAAGAAGTGCTTGCTCTTTCTGTGGTGTAACTTTGATTTGTGATTTAGTGATATGACGAAGTTTCAGCACACAAACATATATATATAATTTTTTAACCATTGATGACTCATTGGTCTAAAATGGTCGAAGTAAATCAAAAGAATTTAAAGAAAATGGATTCAAATCTCATAATGACAACCAAAATATAGTAGAGTGGTGTCAAGCGGTTGTCTCATGAGATTAGTCGTATAAGCTGGCCCGAACACATATAAAAAAGAGATGTATGCTTTAAAATAAAAAAAAAAGGAAATTGAAAAAGGGGTTTTGATTGCTTGACCAAGTGAACCACGTCTTCAATTAAGTCCAAATGCATTCATTGCCTTCTCTCAATTTATAATTTCTATATATAGGCATGGGCAGCAAGAGAGAGAGAAACACCAAAGTTTGATATATGTAGAGAGAGAGAATTAGAAAATATCGTTGAGAGTTATTATTATTATTATTATTATTATGGAATGGAGGAGGTGTTATTTGGACATAATTTTGGTTCCTTTGGCGTTCTTGATAAGCATTGGGTATCATGCATGGCTTTGGCGCAGAGTTCGGACTCAGCCCTTCACCACTCTCATTGGCATTAATACTAATGCCAGACGTTTTTGGATCTCTACCATTTTACAGGTCTGTTTCCTCTCTCTGATCACCTCTACTTTAAATTTTTGGATCTCCTAATTACCATTAAACATCTCTTAGTTTTATCTAATTTTTATATGACAAAATAAAGCATTGGATTTATGTTATTAATTTTTCAACTGCTAGAATCATTCTTCTTATTAACCTACTTCATCACTAATAATCTTTAGGTTTATATGTTTGAATCATTTTTAGATAGCTATCAGAATTTTTGAATGTGAATTTGCCTATAGCTCGATGACTATGCTCAAATTCTCACCTCCACGACCCTGAAAAAAGGAGGTGCTTTTGGGCCGACTCTCATTTTCCCTAATTGATACTAATATGTGAAAATTTAATCTTGAAAAAATAAATTAAAAAAATGATGTATTTTTATTTATTTGGATTGTGTGGTGTGGGACAGGACAATGAGAAGAAGAACATCCTGGCCGTCCAATCGCTGAGGAACACGATAATGGGATGCACCCTAATGGCCACAACCTCGATTCTGCTGTGCACGGGGCTAGCGGCAGTGCTGAGCAGCACGTACAGCATAAAGAAGCCTCTAAACGACGCCGTATACGGGGCCCACGGGGATTTCATGGTGGCCCTTAAATACGTGACCCTACTAACGCTGTTCCTCTTCTCCTTCTTCTGCCACTCCCTCTCCATCCGATTCATAAACCAGGTCAACATTCTGATCAACATTCCGCCCGGCGCCGCCGCCGTCACCTCCGACTACATCTCCGATCTCCTCGACAAAGGCTTCATCCTCAACACCGTCGGCAACCGCCTCTTCTACGCCGCCCTTCCGATGCTCCTCTGGATCTTCGGCCCCGTCCTCGTCTTCGTTTGCTCCCTCTCAATGCTTCCCGTCCTCTATAATCTCGACGTCGTCTGCTGCTCCGACGCCGCCGCCGCCGGAAAACGCCCCAATCGAGAAATCAATAATGTCTAATTAGGGTTTCCAAAACAATTTATCCCTCTCCCTCTCCCTGTTATCTGATATATATCTGTGTGTAAATTAAATTGATCGATGCACTTGATTTTGGGGCTGTTTCCATTCGAACGAACAAACTTTTGACTGCGAATAATAACTGAAAATTTCAAATGCAATTCTCTCTCGTATTTCACCTTCAATCTCTTCTAAGAATTAATTTCACTTTCTAGTTTGCGTCAATTTGACTTCTCACGTCAGAAATATTTTTCTTTGACCATTCGATATTTTATATATTTATATTTTATATTTCTCTATCTTTAATTGTCAGATATTTAATGATGGTAAAGAACAAAATTTTCCGGAGTCAAGTATTTTCGGTCAATTTTAAGGACATAATTTGCAAAAAAAATAACGGGCAGTTTTGGAAAATATATATATAAAAATAGGTGGTGAGCATCAAATTTTGCACAAATAATTAAGAAGGATACATGCAAATATAGACCATTCTTTTTAAATAATAATGAAATTAGAAAAAATGCAAATATGGACAATTTTGCACCTGCCATTAAATGTTGGACAAATAAAATAGAGAAATGAAGGTAGATATTTTTTTAAATATTGAACTATCAATTTTTTTATGGTTAGGATAGAGATAAATGTTCAAACACCAATGTTACTATGCAAGTATTTTCCAATTATTTTTCTTTTTTTTTCTGTATTTCTCTCTCCAACTTATCAAAATTTTAATGGATAGGATAAACACCTCTATTGCAATACTTTTTATTTTGTTAGATTATAAATTTAGTCCTTAGATATTTAGAGTTGTGTTTAATAGATGGATCTAAATTTTAGAAGAGCTTAATACGTATTCAACTTTTAATGATGTGTATGATAAAACTATAAAATTTAAAAATTGTAAATACGAACTTTCAATTTTGTGTATCTCAACTAGTATTTATTAAATTCTTTTTAGAATTTAGATATCTATTAAATTGAAAATTGATCCTACTAAATACTTTTAAAGTTAAGAATTTATTGAAAAATTCATTAAAATTTTAGAATCATATCAGGTACTTTTTTAAAGTTTAATGGCCAATTAAACCTTGTTTAGAAGTTTATATGTCAAATTCGTTTCTTAACTCGGATTATTTGCAGATAAACGTTAAAATTTAATTTTAAAAGAAAATTAACAAAATTTGGCTACAAGTAAAAAATAAATTAAGATTAAATTTTAAAGAGAGATACAAGTGACAGTGTATAAGGCTTTTTTAGAATAAGATTTTTCCTAATTATATCAAATCCATTCTAAAATGGAAGAGTGATTAGACATGCACAATTGTATATGAGAGATGATGATGCCGATAAACAAGTGAAAATGACAATGATATGATTGTGAAAAATAGAGAGAATTAATCAAATTAAAGGATTATATTAATAAATTAAATCTTGAATTTTTAGATATTAAATTAAACATAAATCAAAAATTATAATTTAATATGTGAAAAAGGAAAACTTATGGGCTCGTCTACTAATGTTGTCATTTTTTGTTTTTTTTTCTCCGTTTCCAATTTTTGAGTAACATAACGGTTTGATAACCATTTCTTTTTTCATTTCTCAATTTTAAGAAAATTTTTCAATATTGCTTGGACATTTAAAAAAAATTACAAATTTTTCTAAACATAAATAAAATCATCATTATTAAATTTTAAGAAAATAAACATAACATAAAAGAATTTACTTTCTTAACTTAAAAATTTAGAGAAAAAAATAGTTATTAGTTTTTACCCAAGAAAAAAATAGTTATCAAATATGTCTACTTTTTCTAATAAAAAAGAAATAATTATCAAATTCGAGAAAAATAAAAATAAAAATATTACGAACCCCGCCTAAAATGCGATATCGATTATGCAACAACTTAAATGCAGTGTGTACAAAAAAAAAAAAATATATATATATATATATATATATATATATAAAGGAAAAAGAAAACCTTAAATGCAGTGTTTTTGTCCGACACGCCAACCTATCACACCAAATATATCTCTTTTTAATTAATTTTCCGGGTCGTTAAAGGGAGTTTTTTACTTTTATTTTTAATTAGGCAATGTTCTATTTTTTTTACAGCACTTACAAATTTTTAGTAAGAGATATATGTCAATTATTATTGAGCTATCCCCGTTTTGACTTAATTAGGCAATGCCAAAATTTTTTATTCATTTTTTAATTATTATTTTGTTAACATATTTGAATACGTAAACATGTTATTTGAATATGTTATTGGACACAAATTCAACTTATTTATCTTCAATATTCTTTTTTTTTATGTAGATTTATTTTCAAAATTATAGTCACCGATCAATAAAATTTTTCTCAAGTCGCATGTCCATATCTTCCAAATAAGTTAATTAAATAATAATTTAATGAAATATAAGTTTTTTTTTAACAAATCTTAAGAGAATTTTTAACCCATTAAATAAAATTGAGAGATGTATATATTAAAAAAATGAGAATTTTAAAAGAATACAAATTACATTTATCATTTTCTAAAAAATTAGAGACCATTTGATGCATTTAACCCAAAAATTAAGAAGGGTATTTTACAAATTGTGGGTAGTTTATTTTCAATTTTATGAAAATAATTCAATGTAAAATAAAAACAACAATCTGGCTTTTACATTTAACGTGTTGGATTTAAGAATTGCATAATATGTTTTTATTTTAGATATAGAAATTTCCTTTGCATTTAAAATATATTGTTATCTTTTAAAATTCTTTTCCGTTACAAATAAAGTACTTTTTGCTTTTTTAGTCAACCACGTTAAAATATAAAATTTATTTGGATTGAACCAGTGGGAACGGTTGCATGAGTAGACATTAAAATAATATATAAATTTATAGTCATCTAAATATCAACTAATCAGAGTGGCGCAGCGGAAGCGTGGTGGGCCCATAACCCACAGGTCCCAGGATCGAAACCTGGCTCTGATAGAGTGGCTTTCGTAAATTTTTTTTCCTTTTTTGTCAATTTTCATTTCTCCTTTTTATTATTTCTTTTCATTTTCATTTTTTTTACTTTAAATTTATTTTTTCTTTTCATTTTTCATTCCGTTTTTTTCCTTATTTCTTTTCTTTTCTTTTTTCATTTTTCCATTTTCCATTTCTTTTTTTTCCTTTTCTGTTTATTTTCGTCGTTCATTTCTTTATTTTTTATTTTTATTTTTCATTTATTTTTCTTCTATTTTTCCATTTCTTTTTTCTCTTTCCTTTTTCATTTCCATTTCTTCCTTTCTTGTTATTCTCATTTTTTTTCTTTTTTCTTTTCTATTTTACATTTTTGCATTTCTCTTTTTTCCTTTTTTTTTCATTTTTTCATTTTTCATTTCTCCTGTTTTTAGTTTTTCTTTTTTAATATATTTTCATTTTGTTTTAAAAAGAAAGAAAACGCAAGTATACGTAATTTCCAAGTACTGTTATGCATGCTCTTTCAAGCGAAAAAGAAAGGCCATTGGGTTTTCTTGGCTCAGTCACCACCAAATTTTCTGGGCATCATTTTCTTCCCTTTTCATCAGCATAAGATTACATCCAACTTTTAAGATTAAAGAAAGAGTTCTTTATTTTTCCAAAGCCAAACAAAATGACTCTCTCTTCAATTTTGCAACCCCTTTTACTAAAGTTCAACGTGGATATTGGATAGAGCATCTTAATACAATTTTAAATATCCTCCGCTCTTCGATTGTTGAACTAAAAAAACATCAATCAAAGTGAAATCATATGGATGCAGGTGCTATAGATACAGATATGCCTTATCACAAAACAGTCTTTTTCTTTCTTTTTAACCAGAAAGCATTTCAACTATCGGCTGACTGAATTTCCATTTGTGTCTGACAGAAAAAAAAAAGAAAACCAAACCAAAACACAACAAAATAATTCAAAGAAAGGTGTGAGATCCCACCATCTTTTTTGATCTCAATCTTTGACCACCAACCCGGATATTATCAGCACCTTTTTTTTGTTTGTTTTTTTCATGGTTTATTGTCTGGTGTTGTGATTTAGATGGGCAAAAGGGAAGCCCAAGAATGACTTTTGCAGAAAGTAATAATCAAAGTTACCAGTATATCAGTAATAGAATTCCAGAATTTCATCCAAATCATATTCACTATAATGATTATTATTACACTGAATTTATCATATATAATTGTTTGATATTGAAAGAGTTTGCTATAAGAACTTGCAGATTCCTCTGAGCAAAAGGAACCGTTACATATATCAAAGATTATGAATTGTGTATTGTATGACTATGGGAAATTTTGTTCTTTCGTCCTCAGTTAAACAGAGGAGTCTCCACTCTACTATGCTGTCCATCAGAGATCCCGAGCGTCGAAAATTCTGCTGGTAATGGGATATTCAACTCGGAACAAACAAGCTGAACTATGCTGCGAGTCGTGCCCCCAAGAGACATTTTGTTCAGGGTCACAGATATGGCAAACCTGTGATCCATATTGCAGAAACCTGTGGATCCACCCATTCCTGAATGGCCAAACCCAATAAAAGAACCTTCCTCTGATCTCAACCTTGAGAACCCTAATCCAAACTTCCCATTTGGAATGGTAAAATTCTCATATTTTCCTATACCCAAAAAGGCATCATGAATTCTTGGGTCTTTGTACATCTTGCCTACAAAACTTTTTCCAGCATCTCCATGCCTTAAGCCATCTCTTGTGCAGGCATCATTGCTATTGCTACAGCTGCTGCTGCTATTATTAAGGAGCCTGGTGTAACCAGTATTGCTGGGACTCCTGCACATACTATTAGTCTCGTCGGAAGAACTCGAATTCTTTTCATGCACGTCCTTACTTCTGGCAGCTTTCTGCTTCTTAGTGACGTTCTCGGAGGAAAATTTAGGGATGTGAGGGTGGCTTCCGAGAGCTGGTTGGGATGATGAGGAATGTGGTGGAGGTATCACACCGCCATCGGCCAAGGCTGCATAATAACGTGCCAGTGCACGGGCCGAGCAATGTCCATTAGCAGCTGGTATAATGGCACGTCGAGTATTGAGCATATTAAATAGAGGGGTCAAGGTAGTGGCAAGCTGGGCAATCATGGCTGGCTGGAAGGTGGAGGGCAGTTCAGGACGATTGATCCCAGCGAGCTTTTGAAGATCTTCGTGATCTGGTGTTAGTGTTGCAAGACGAGATTCAACTCCTGGAGGCAAGTAAAGAATGTTAACAAAGCTCAGCAGAAGTTTTCCTGTTAAAGCGACGAAAACAATTGTATCGCTCCTAACACAAGTTGTTGTAATCATGAACTTGGTTGAGATTATGCTTAAGAATGCAAAAGATGGGACAAAAACGGTAAATGTATACCGGGAGGGATTCCGATGTATAGCTCGCCTTCTACGTGGAGTGGGTAAACTAATGCTTCTTCAAGAATCTCTTGGAATTTCTTCCCCGCAGCGTGCTGTTTAGATTTAGCAAATTAAAACCAATGAGGCATAAAATAAGCCATCTTAGGCTATATGCAAGCATCCAGGCCCATTGTTAGGTCCGATCTGATCATTGATTTTTTTATCAATAGATTTGAGTCAACAACAAAGAAAATAAGGTCACATGAGATACATATGCAGGTACTTTTTTATAATGCCACAACCAAAATTATTGTGGGTCCAGATTACAAATATGCCATTGCTCAGGCTCGTGTTCGACCTCTACCATACAAAAGTCAGGAAAGTAAATACAAATGGTTAATATGTTGAGGGATTAAGTAATAACCAAGCACGACAAACTTCTCCTGGCTGACCGTATTTTGTACTTTTTTTACCAAACAATTAATTAATGTGAATAAAGCTAAATTGTGGAGTGTAATTTATCCCAAAAATAGAAAAAGACTAGAAATTAAACATGAATTAATATATGACGAGAGAATTAGTGAAAACCAGCTCAACTTAACTGACCATATGCAGAAATTTCCTTTTTCTTTTAAATAAATAGGCAAACGTGAAAGAAATAATTAATGTTACCACTTATTCAAATTTAACATTTAATTTGACGAAGTTAAAAGTTTTAAGTTAAAATTGATTTGGGGACTAGCCCGCTTCCAATTACTCGACCCTGGATCAATCAATAAGCTTTTTGATTTGATTTCAAGCCTGGTTGCATGAGATTGAGTCCAATAATTTAAATGAATGGACGAAACGTTTTACCTCTATGATTCCACCGCATAGCCAGCCAAAAGATAGATAGTGATACAACTGCTCCTGGCCAGGTTCAGTCTCTGGAATTGACATTGCCATGCAATTCAAACATTCCTCCCAATCACAAATTAGCAAAGGATTTTCCCTAGCATCTACCGTGGCATTATGCAGACCTGAAGTATGGTTAAGCACATGATAGATCTAGAAAGGAAAACCAAGAATATAAAAATGTCAGCACAACCACAAATATTTCATAAATGATACTACAAAATAACATAGCAAGAAACTCTTTAGGGAGACTCCGTACCTTTATTATATCTTTACCATTTGATCCAAATTCTGGCCAAATATTAGCAACATTTTCATCGAGCTTCAGTTTCCTTTGAGACAATTCATAAGAGGAAAGAAGTGGTTAATAAAGGAAGGCACCGCACTGCACCGTGCACCATGACAGAAGGATATAAATATAAAACATACTGATAAGATAATGCTACAGATCGAAGAATATAGTCTATTTTAACTTAGATGGCACAACACAGACTTGAAATTGAAACCCTCATTTTACTTCCTAATAAATTATATTCTTACCCATTATCAACTAGCCAATGCAACATTCCAGCTGTGATGCCCTTTGTCACAGAAAACACTGGAAAAAGACTATCAGGTTGAACTGGACGAGGATCATATCTACCAAGAACTCCGGCAGCAGTATCAATAATGACCTCTCCATCTTTGTAGGCACATACCTAACAGAAAATTGTATCACAAGTCAATAAAAAAGAGACTAATATTAATTTAGCAAGTGTGAGGGACAGGTTTTAATTGCCATGGACGAGAGAATATTAGTACGCCAACCTCGTAATCAACTGTTACTTGGCCATAAAATGCTAACTAACTAAACAAAAAGGAAATTATGGAAAACATAACCAATTTATCTAGCAAAAGCAATAGGTAAATCAGCTCAAGCAGGAAATCAAACCTGATTTGATCACCTAACCTATTTTACGTCTCAAGGTTCAAATATAATCAAAATAACTCAAATCTCTTCTAATATACTTTTGATGCCAAAATTTTTGAATGGCTTGTACTATATATATACACACAGAAACAGAAAATAAGACTGATGGCCTAATTTTGAGAGAAATAAATAACATACTACTGAATGATACTTTGGATAAATTTTTAGGATCCATATTGCTATTTGCAGTTTGAACAATTTTCAACTCAAGCACAAAGCTGAATGGCATAATCTGAGCTACATGATATATCTTCTTTCGCATGTAATGGATGTTATAGATCACATGAAAAATGTTGTAAATTATATACAAGAATTTAGCAAAGCCGAAGGCAAATACAGAACAACATTTTAGGGCATTAAACCACAGTTTGACATGATATTAGCAAATGGCTTAGTTGTGCAGTAGTGTATATATCAACGTGTGGTACATGCCTGAATTCCAAGTATTTTATTATCATTCCCCAGCTTGATCAAAAGTTGTCTCAGCTTAGCTTCCACATCAGAACGGACAGGTGTTTTCCAGATCCATTGATCATTTACGTTTGGCTCCTTGCTAATGTTCCTGAAACATAACTGAATGTAAGACAAAGCTCATTAATCACACAGAGGTCCAGAAAGAACTCACCCTTGCAGAACATATTCAGCAAATGGTCTCATGATATCTAGATATACTATGCGAACATCCATCAAGGAAGAAAGACCTGCATCCAAGTCACTCAAAGTTGAGAAAACACAAATCAAAAACTCTGTTATAAGTTAAAACCGGTTAATGTTTTAATGAATACCTCTAAGAAGATTAAGGACCCGTGCAAATATTATAATATCACCAGGAAATGCATCAACCTGGATAAAAGATGGGATCTTACCATATCCAAAAACTGAGACAATCACGCCAGAGAAATAACTAGAAGCTGTATCAACTTACAGGATTGAAACGTTTAGCCTCCTTTTGATTCATTTTCATTCTTTCTTGTATTTGCTTCAGGTTCTTTGATCTTTGCTCCGTCATAGCTTTCAAGGTTTCCTGCAAAATAACTGAAGAAGTAAAAACATGAACCTAATTTATTTATAGGACTCATATGTGTAAAAGAATGAAACTTGAAATATATCAGAGAATGAAAATTAGGAAGTAACATTGGAGATAATCATGACTCTCAAGAGCTTTCCATGCACTTACATGCGATTCTTTTGCAGCAGTTGTAGCTCGAAAGAATACATTTGTCACCTCCATTGCTTGCTCTGGAATATCAAGACGCAACTTAAGTCCCATTTCAGCAAAGGAAGATAGAAGAGCAACATGGTCACCCTATCACAGAAGATGTTAACAAATCATTTCCGCATTCAGGGAAAATGATGTGAATCAGAGAGTCCAAGAAGAACTACAAACCAACTTACTGTCTTACAATAGCAATAATAAACTGATACCATAACAAACTGCATCAAGTGGTAATTTAATTATAAGGTTCTTTAACAAATAATCAAGGACAAGATAAGGAGTCTGAGCACATAAACAAATATGGATGTGCTTTGAGGTGTCTTAGATGCTCTTTTGGAGATAACTAGATAAATACAATAAATTGTGTATTCATATTATCAACATTAGTAGGTCTTCAGTCTTGCAATGTTGCACTTAGAGAGCGACATGCATCAAATTTTAAAATTGACAATTGTACTTCTACTTGAAGATTGATGAAAGCTAAACCAAAGGATCAAATTTCAAAAGATCAGCAGAAAGGAAACTATAGATAGAAGGATTTTCAAATAGCAGAAACTACATGAGACTAATATATTTTACCTAAATAATAAAGTCATACATACGGCATACCTCGGCAGCTGCCAAAAACATCTTTGCCAGTGCTAGTTTCATGTTGTTTGGTAGTTTCTTTGTAAGCCCAAAGTCAAGCAAAATCGGACAATGAGGAGGCTCCTTACTGATGAGAAAATTCCCTGCACAAAGTACCAAAGAAGGCACTAAAACAACTATGGTACTGGACTGTTACATCCTAACACTTTCGTCCAGTATTATAATTCTTCTTAGATTTATCATTTATATATATCCACTTTCTTAATGTCTGAGACTCAGTTCAAATATCATGATTACAAACAGTTTTTTATTTAAAAAGAACTTATAAAACGATAAAGTTTTTAAATTAAATTTCAAAACAGAAAATAATCATAAAACTAAAATTTGTATTTTTATATTTTCATGCATTTTATTTCTTGTTGTTTTCAAATTTACTATTCATGAATAATCATTAATTATTTTGTAAATATAACTTGGTTAAATGTATTATATTTTATAAATAGTGTAGAGAAGAAATAAATGAAAACAAAGAACAAAAGATAAGTTTCTAAACAGTTTTAAAAGGTTAATCTACAAAATTGTTTTTAAAAATACTTCCCAACAACCCCCAGTGTTCATCTTAAAAAAAAACAAATTTTGTAGATTAACCTAATTTCTGCATTAAATAAATTATCTATCAGTAATAAAACTTCTACTGCAAAATTTTTTTGATTAATCTACAATTATTTACGTCAAAAAGACCACAGATAAATGATAATGTACCAGGATGAGGGTCGCCATTGAAAAATCCATCAACATAAATTTGGTGTGCATATGCTCGTGTGATTTCTTCAACAATTTTTTGTTTGTCTATACCACAAGCTTCCAGACTAGCAGAGTCATTTAAACGAATACCGTCCATATACTCTAAAATTAGAACTTTCTCTGTTGACTGCCATAAAAACCCACAGATGATAGAACAACCGTTGAGTAAATAAGCAACATAATCTTTTGCATACTTAGAGCTATGTAAGCAATAAATTCTCCATTCCAAATGCCAAGATAATACGTTAAACTCCAAACATGTTATTAAGTTATGAGCAAAGATCAATCCTTAAGATCATGACTTGAACTTGTAGACTTGCCTAGCAAATATGTATATCAGTATATGTATTCTTTGAAAATTTTTCATATAAGTTAAGAAAGCAATAAAATTTATGTTTCAAATTTTATAAAATCTCCATCTCAAACGTGTTGTTATTTGAAAAGTTCTGTTCTATATGGTAGGTATAGATAACAACTACTAAACAATTGAATTAAAACATAGAACTGTTTCAAATAAGTTCATAAAACCAAAACACTGTCTACATTTAACTTAAACAACATAATCTTTTGCATACTTAGAGCTACGTAAGCAAT